TTCAGAGGAGTTTAATAACATCTCTTTTAGAAATGAGGAAAACGAAAGCCCCAGGAGCCCTGGGCTATCTCCCACCCTCGGGTCTCACTGATGCCCCCACAGTCAGCTCGTGGTCGTCACATCCTGGGGCGGAGCCGCCATGGTCTTCCGTCCCAGCCTGAGCTTTGGGGCCCAGGCCGCGAGGACCTGTGTTGAAGGAGGGAGACATGCATTGGGACCCTCAGCAATTCCTCAGAGCCCCCAGGACTTCTGGGCCCTGGTTTGTCACTACACCTTGAAGCCACAGGGCCAGCCAAGGACTAGACAGTGTGAGTCGAAGTGAGAGTAAGTTGGTCCTCACACCCTGTCTGCTCAGCTCCCTGAAGCTGACTGGGGACATGGTCCTAGAAGGGCTGTGTGCACAGCCATGAAGAGAAACCAAAACAAAAATCTAGGGCCCTCCCTCAACTCCACGTCTGCCCATGAGAGGATTCCAGTGTGATGACAGCCACGGATCCTGATGCCCAAGCCTGTCACAAGAGTAAGGGTCACGACACAGGAGAGGTGGTTCTCAGGATCTTTAAATGTAAGCGCTGGCCAGAGCAGGGCCCTGGGCACAGCAGGAGCAGTACAGCAGGAAAAGCACTGTGGGTACCAAGGCGCACAGGCGCACACCTGTGGGGCTCAGGGCCAGGCCCTCCGCCTCGGCCTCGTCTTCGTCCTCATCCTCCAGGCCATGCTCTGGTTCCCAGGCGTCGTCATACTCCTCCAGCACCAGGTCCCAGGACACATTGGGCCCCTCCTCCTTCTCCCCAATGGGGACAGCTCCGATGTCCTCATAAATACCTTCCGAGGGAAGGCTCCCCAACATTCTAGAACCTGCAAAGGCCACAAGAGAATGTCTATGATGGACACTCCTGCATCTAAGTCCACTGCTGCCGGACCCTCCAGACCCTCAGCTCCTTCTGCCAGAGTTCCCCACGAGGGGACGCACACTTCCCTGGCACCCAGGTGTGGGTCACTGAGAAGCCACCAAAAGAGAGTCCAGGTGGGACCAGGCACAGGGCAGTGACCAGAAAAGAGAGGGCCAGCCATGGGCTGGCATCGCAGAGTGTGCCCCCAGCCTCCCCATCCCCAGGGCCCTGTGTCAACCCCAGCGGCCATGCCCACCTACCTCTGCCACGGTACCACTGTGCCCCCAGGACCAGAGACACAATGCCCAGGAGAGTGCCCAGGACGAGGCAGAAGGTCATGGGCACGGTCCCAGCCTTGAGCGCAGGTAGAGGAGTCAGAGGAGTCAGAGGAGGGCCTGTGAGGACAGTGAGGGGCGGGTCTCCCTGTGTGCCCGCACTGCCTGGGGAATTGTGACCTTGGGCCTGGACCACCTGAGCCTCTGGGAAGGGGGAGTGGCACCCAGAGGAGAGGTGGACCTTGTGCCGCTCCTCCCCCACAGGGCTGAGGGTCAGGAGGGAGGGCCAGGAGGGCAGCTCTTGCGGTCTGAGCACCCACTGTTCTCAGTTGTGCTTTGGACACAGACACAGCGTCCAAGAGGCCACGGCATCCCCCAGTCTTGCCAGGAAAAGAGCCCAGAGAAGTGTCTGGGCAGGGCCCGCGCCTGCTGTCTGTCCCCATGGTTCTCCACCTGGCTGGAGGGCGGGGGTGGGGGGCAGTGCTGTTCCTCAGAGAAGGGGTGTTGCCAGCCCCATGGTCCTGCTCTTCCTGACCTCAGCCCTACAGATGAAGGGGGGATGACCGAGGCCCTTCATGCAGACCCCATCGCAGGGCCGGGAGACTACACGTACCTGATGCCGGTGGCAGGACAGTGGTCCCCCTGTCATCTGCAGGAGAAAGGGCAGGACGTTAAGGCAAGGAAGGACAGGATCAGCCCAGCCCTCAGAGCAGGCGTCCCAGCCCCTCTCAGCCTGAGCCTGACTTGTCATCGGGCCCCTACTGAGGTGGCCTGCACCCCACCACCCAGAGGGACCCAGCNCCACCCCCACCCCCGTGCACAGCAGGAATGAGCTACAAGCTTTCCGGCTCCGGGGCTTCGATGCCCCAGGGTGAGGACCCCCCTTCCCCACCAGAGCAGAGGGACCTGGCCACTCGCCAGCCTGACTAGCCTGAGTGGTGGGAGAGGAGCGGGACCCTTCCGTCCAGAAGGTCGTGTGGTCACCATCGGGCCCCACGCTTGAACCCAGAAAGCGTTGCCCTGGTGTGCGACCGGCACTTCGGAAAGCAAATGTGTCCCTCGCCTGTGCTGTGCCGGCCCCAGAGGGGATGGCGCGGCTCGTGGGGCCATCGCGAAGCGACGAGGGTCTGAGGGGCTCACCCCAGGCAGTCTCGCGGGGGTGGGGTGCGGGTGGGGACAGGCCGGGCCGCCTACCTGAGCAGTGCACGGCGCTGAGGCACTCGCACGCGCAGCCCCGCACGGGCCCCCACGGCCCCAGCGAGCAGTTCCAGAGCGAGGCCTCGTGGCCCTGGCACCGCGCGGCCTGCAGCAGGGCCCGCTGCCGCTCCGCCGGCCACAGCACGTACGTGGGCGCGAACCGGCCGCGGCCGCAGCCCAGCTGCCGGCAGACGACGGCCGCCTCGTCCAGGCCCCAGCCGTCCCCGCACACCATGCCCTGCTGCCCGCCGCGCTGCACGCTCACCAGGCCCTCGCAGTGGTTCCCGCCCCTCAGCAGAGTCACGGAGTCCGCGGCGAGGCCTTCGGGGCAAGAACACGGGGAGCGGCCGTGGCAAAAACTCGCTGGAGAACTTTTTGTCCAGGATTTTCCAAATTTAGAAATCTAATTTTCACCTTCCATCCCAGTTTGCACCCTTCATTTCTATTTCCTCAAGTTTTCTCACACTTTATTTTTGATGGTGATGACATCAATGAAGTTAAATGCTAACAAAAATGAATGGCTAAGGACCATTTTCTGTGGAAGCGTCACATGGGCATGGCCCATGCTCACGTTGCCTGCAAAGGGCTGCGACTCCCAGGACGCACACCCCAGAGTTCTGCCATGCCTCCCCTTGTGGACCAGCCTCAGAGCCTGGAAGCCCCCAGACCGCAGCACTCACCTGGAGGGAGTGTCCAGCAGGCCAGGAGGAAGGGCCACAGCCTCAGAGGGGGCACGGCCATCCCTGGTCACCTCTGCTGCTGCAGCCACCCCAGGCATGAGCAAGGGTGCTCCACCCAAGTTGGGGAGGTGGCCTCCAGCTCAGCGGGAAGCCCTTCTGAGAAGGAACCCTGGGAGCGCCACCGCCACCGCCTCCCCGGTGGTATCAGAGCTGTCAATCAGAGCTGTTAATCAGAGCTGCCATCTGTCCCAAGAGCAGGAGCTCACCCACCGGGCCTGAGCCCAGATGGCACCACCAGCGTGTGGTGAAGCCCTGGCTGGGCTTCCTGCACAGCAGCTGCCTGGCACAGACCCAGGCGTGAGCCTCCCAGAGGAGCCACCACCTCTGGGCCAGGGGCCAGGGCCAGGGCTGGCGGGGAGGAGACAGCCTTTCTCTGCTTTGCACAAAAGGTGTGTTCAAGAACGAGAGTCGAAGCAAGCTGCAGTGTTCCATGAACAGACACAGCAGTTTGACCCAAACTCGTAAAAACGTGCCTGACCTGGGTAAATGCAGCTCTCTGTGAGGATGGGATTCTTGAAAAGCAGCCAAAGGTACAACGGGAGAGGAATAAATAAATGATCGAAGATACAGATGAAGAAATATTAGGCAGCCATTAAAAATGAGACGTTAGCTGCATGTTTTAGGTGAGAAACACACAGGAAATATAGACTATGCCCCCGATGCATTATTGTAAAGTTTACTTACATCTGTGCCTTTGTGTAAAGAAAAGTTCTCGATGGATACAAGGCAAGATGTTGACATATTCATTTCTGAGCGATATAGTGCGTATCATTTTCTTTCTTGGTTCTATGAGTTTTCAAATTCATAATAATGTGTATTATTTTGTAAGCAAAATAGCATCAATAAAGTTACTCTTCAAGAGATTTGCCAGAAAACCAATTTAAGGGGGCAGCTTGGGTCTTCAGACCCATGTGGATTTCCACGAGCACTCTGTCGGTGGGACTCTCTGTGCCGGAGCTCCAGATCCCCCCAAACCACAGCCTGCCCCTGCCCTGAGCTGCACTCCCAGCTGGGGGGCAGGGTGGGGGTGAGGGAGTGGGGGGGGTGACCTTCACTCAAAGCTGCCTAAGCGGGATCCTCCAGACGACAGAGAGGGTGGGGAGCTGCTGGGAAAGCGCTCTGCACGCGGCCCTGAGTGGAGGCAGCAGGGATGCCCAGGCAGGTGCCGCCCAGGCAGGTGCCGGGACGGGCCCTGCACTCTCCTCAGTCCCCACCTTCTCTGGCTGCTGGCTGGTGTCCTGACTCTGCTCCCTGTGACTTCCAGGTCCCCTGTCCCATGCTCAGACTCCCACCCCATTCCCTGCCAGCTTGCTTCTCTCCCTCCCACCCTGGGGACGCCCTCCCCCTGCACACCGTTCCCCCCCACCGGGCCCAGGGACATCCAGCACGCACCCACGAGCCAGGCTGGCCAACTCTTGATGCCAGAGGGTGGGCCTTGTGTGCACAGGGGTGAACAGTGAGCCCAGATGTCCAGGACACTCCTTCTCATCCCCCAAATCCCTGTCAGGAGCTGTTCCAGCCACACCCCAGAAACTGGCAACTTACCTTCCTTAGCCTGCTTCACCCCAGAGGCCCTGTTCAGCCTCTCTGGATGTCACCCTGTCTCCCTCATCAGGTTTCCTGTCCAAAAGGGGACCTTCAAGTTTATCTTCTCCAGCATAGTGGTCCTGGCGACCACAAGCAGCACCTGCCTTACAGCCCCGAGGAGTGGGCACACGGGGAGGCTGGGGGGTGGGAAGCAGTGCTCAGAGAGGCCCCACAGCAGTCTGGCCAGATGCTGAGGGGGACACTGAGAGATGGGTGGTAACCGCTGGCATCACTGGGGAGACCCTATAGAGGTAAGGGGCTCATAGGATGATTAAACCTGGTCTTTCCCAGGATGCTGACATGGGAGAGTGGGAGTCAAAAGGATCTAGGTATGAGTGGGTACAGTCATTTGCAAACCTATCCCAGACCCACACAGGGAAGAGGGTACAGAGAAACATTTCCCAGAGGGGTGTGGTGAGGGTGGGTATGGTCAGGGGGGTATGGTCACAAAGGACTTGGTGGGGTCATCAGAGTATTGGGGATTCTGGCACAACACCTGAGCCAGGTGGGGGAGAGGGACTGTCTGCAGATGAAAGGTGGATGGCCAGGATCTGGTTCAATGGGAGCCCCACCCCACATCCCTGGAGGAACTGTGGGCGAGGGGCTGTGGGCGAGGCCAGCTGAAAACACTGAGAGCCCACGATGTCAGACAAGGCTGGGGCCAAAACCAGAACCTGGGCCCTGGTGGTGTGTGAGGGTCCTTTCAGGGATGAATTAATGGATGAATGAACGAGTTCAGAGGAGTTTAATAACATCTCTTTTAGAAATGAGGAAAACGAAAGCCCCAGGAGCCCTGGGCTATCTCCCACCCTCGGGTCTCACTGATGCCCCCACAGTCAGCTCGTGGT